AAACACTTTGCCTGGAGGACAACATCGACCGCAATGGACAGTGGCTAAACTCCATTGGCGTGCCATTAGTAATGCGAGTTGTAATCTCAACTGTAATATAAATGAGCCGCAATCTTTGTCTTTGCCGCTAATTCCTTTTGGCAAAGAATTTACCATATGATGCTTCCTACTCGGTTGGTTGAGCGTCAGACTCAGAACCGTAAAATCCTGGATTCGAGCCCTGGTCAGGGTCACTGGTCTTCGTCCCTTCCGTAGTTGATAAATGAAAACCACTCTGATGAGTGGGAATGAAACAGAGAGCATAGATTACGATTTTGGCGTCGCTGCTGTCGATTTCGTTTATGCCTTTAAAAATAAGGCATTCCTGGCTGAAGACATAAAAATAAAGGAACAGCGCTCCCACCATTAATTTCATGAAAACAAGGGCGCCCGAACTGAGTTCATCATACTTGTGCAAGGAAGATCGACAAACCAAAGTTTAGAAACATTCTTTTCCTTTTTTGAATGTGAACTGTGCATGACTAACGAAATGCAAAAACACAGGTTGTAAACCGGTTTCATCATGAAAAGATTAGCAACAAGGGAACTTTGATGTAATTCAATACTCAAGCTAACAAAGTTAAAACGAATATCTGTCTATTTAAATCAATTATCAGTTTTTGTCCTATAACGCTTGAAGTGGCGGTCTAGGTGATTCAAAGATTTTCAGGGCATTCTTTTATCATATGTTTTATCATTGATGAAAAATGGAGTGTCCCTAAACGGTTTTTAACCATAATCACAAAAATCTTAAAAGCTCTTCTATCAGGTTTCTTTTACAGGTGGAATATGCTCATGAACAGAAAGCAATACAATAGTAAAGAGAAGAGTTCTTACGCTAATTCCTTCGAAATGTCGTTGCATAGCTTCCTGAATTGTATCAGCGAGCGGCTGTTCAGTGCACTTTTGACTAGCAACCACGTCGTCCGATGGATACAGTCGCCTAACAGTGTCTGAGAGAATCTCTTCGCCATTGGGCGCAATTTCAGTATAACACTTGATGGAGTATAGCCACCACCAGACGGCGTCGCGACAGTTGTAGCGAGCAAATGCCCCTCCTCCGAGCAAGTTCGGAATCAGCCCATGCCTGAGGCATCCGGCGTACGCCAGTATCGTATACCTGATAAACAGAATGGATTACTATCAGGTTTTTGACAAGTTTAGAAACAAAGCGGTTACCGCGCTTCGTCGTATCTGCCTGTTATCAGCAATATGCCAGGCAAAGCAATGAAGGTGTCGCGGCCCCAGTTACGAAACAGGCCACATGAAAAATGTGGAAGCCCTGCAAGACAAATCAAGTATCGGACAAACAATACGATATTTCAAAATATCTTTCAACAGTTATTTTTAAACGAGCTTTCCACCTATCAGATAAAGGATACAAGGAACATATATAAAAATATTGGAGCTTTGAAACACCATATATACTGAGTAAAACTCATAGGCCGCTTTTTCGAACCTGACGATTCATAATCCATAAACCTTTTTTTCGACTGAAACGCGTGAAGAAGTGTTAAATGTCGCTGTCTTTACTAAACTGCAGAAAATGAGTAGAATTTTTTTAAATGCTGACTCTAACGTTTGAGCACGAATATGAGACTAATGGGATGCCGAAAGATGGTACCCGTGACGTCCAGGATGACCACATCAACCGCAGCAGGTGTATGCTCGATGCAAAATAAATATTGTGTGAAAAGGCTGGCTGATATTGCCATTGCTCGGAACATATTAAGATATTTTCATCGTCATTCATTAATTGATCATCTTTGACATGACCTTAATGCCTTCATTTAATCCGATTCGATGATCTGCAGGTCATGAATAGTTAGGCACTTAAATTCGAAAAAGCAGAGTAATCACCAGTTACTGCAAGTGATCCAAAAACAGACAATACATAAATACTACTTTAAATGTACTTTGCCGGTATACACAATTTACCTGCGGACAACGACGTCAAAGCCTGAACCGAAGAACCGGTCACTGAATCGACAACTGTGTTAGGTAACGGGGGATGAATCTTGTCTGACAGCTGGGGAAGTTGAGCGGACTTCGCATATGCACAGAACGCCAAGGACGCCAGCGCAAGGTTTCTAACGAACGAACTGCCACTGTTGATGAACCTGCAATGACAACAGTCCAAAAAACTGACAATAACAATGGCAATCGCTCGATTGACTTACTTGGACATCTTCCGCCATACCGTTTCCCGAATGATACGGTAGCTGCCACTAACGATCGCGTCAAAGTAACAGGGTTTTAAATTGTACGGAACAGCCTTATACAGCTCAAACATGTTTTTGAACCACAAACCAAGCTAAATTCAGCCAAAATGTATGCAAAATAAGATGTAGATGAACACGTAAAAAAACAAAAACTAAAACTCTTGAGGCAGTCTAGTAAAGAACATACAATGGGATGTGCAATGATTAACAGGTTACAATGATATTATAGGTTCATTTCAAGATTCGAAGCTTTTCGACAGCTTCCAAGCACTTGAAAATATATTCAAAAATAAAAAAGGATGAATTTTCCCTCGTTCCTGTATCGGTGATACTTTAGCATTCGTTCAGGTATTTGCAGTGTGGCTGTCTTGCATTTTAAACCGATGAAGGGTCATCATTTAAACTGGCCCCAAAACGAAGGTAGTTTCTTACAAGATCCAAAGTAAACTCCAAAAAAAGGAGAAAATTCCGCTTGACAGCGGGCCAAGCCTCCAGAGCTGTCACATTGAATGTACTTTATAAGGATGAAGTATAAACTGGCGTAATGTCCAAGACGCATAGCAAGCATGGCAATAATCAAAACCATTTGACAAGATGGAATGAAATTTCTATCACGGTGAAGCTACGTAACTAAGAAATAAGAAGACACAAGAGAATGAAGAACGGCTACTATAGTTCCAACGTTAGAAAATAACAATGCGGAGATCAAGGCACAAGCTTAACGGATGATCGACGTGCTTCAGCAGTGACGTACTTTTACCAAAGGAGCCGAAAGCGCTGACTTGAAAGATGATCAGATTTAATATTCAGTATTTATTATTGCTACGTAGGAAGATACTTCTTTCCTGTTTCGAAACCAGCATATATAGATGGAATGATGAATTAAAAGAGAGAAATATATGTTTGTGAAGACAAATCGCACAAGACAGGTGAGCGAGAACACTTAGGTCAAGCAGTTCTGATCGTCGTTAAAAACGAAGAATGTTCAGGCAGTTTAAAAAACAACTGACAGTTGCATCATAACGAACTTCTGAAGACATTACAGTATTAATCTTTCGTCAGGTAATATACGTGCGATAGCTCGTTTTCAAGTCATTCAGGCCTTAATGGCTGATTATTTCTCGTCAGTAACGTTCGCTCCCCTCCAATCATTTCTGATGATTTACTGATGTGATGAGTTGTTGGATAGAATAAGACTGACTGTGTGATAAGATCAATCATTCATTTTCAAGCTGCTTATGCGGTAATTCATAAAATCACAATTGAGATGCTGTGGGCACGTAGTCAGGATCTCAAAGAGAAAGTAAAATGATTATTTTCGCAAAACCGCAGATATGGCCAACGGAGAGTCCTAATGTAATGACAGACGGCTTGAGCATGCATTTTCCAGGATCGTCTGCGATTGTCGGAATCCAGTTGTAGAAACTACCTTGTTAGTGGAGAACCGCTTATTAAAGCTATTGTTGAAACTGAACGCATGAATTTATCACTTCGCAATATCACTCACCTGGGGTCGTATCAACCTTTATTTCTCGATATCAAGGCCCAGTTACGGTTTTATAGCATTCGGTTTTCCCGGGATCGCTACTGCTTCTCAAGGCATGGTTAAAACAGCTTTGTATTCGCTCTTCACAACAGTTTCAAAAGCTGCTCAATAGCTTAGAGGTCTTGCAGGGGATAGAAACATGCACTGAACAATGACTTGAAACCTGTTGTGTCGCAATCGTTCACGATTAAAGCTGAGACTTCTTAATGATACATCTTTCACTAGTGTAGCTTACTATGGACTATGTCAGACACATCAGAAAATTTTCAGCATGAAAAGGTTCTGAATGCTGCGGTCATACTGGACATTAATGAGTGTACCAAAGAATTCTTAATCTGGGACCTTGACATGGCGTGAGAAATTTCGCACCAATAGGCATTCCTGGTCTGAGCATCAGAAGTTGCTCCTAGCAGGGTCTCCCCTGCGAGACCTGCTGAAATAATAAAAACTGATCCCTCAGAATTATGGCTCCTCTTTTCCTAAAAATCAAGTACGACCTTTCAAAGTTCTTCGCTTCTGCAACGCCAAAAACAGCGGCTTTGAAAACTATGAAATTACAAAGCTCGCCAAGCAATTTCTTGCTGCCTGTACAAGAGAGTAAATTCCTGATGATTTATTTTCCATTTATGAGGAAAGTCCTCTAGGAAAGAAGGTCTCCATTCCATGGAGCAAGGCATGAAAAGGTAGTGGCTTGCTTCTAATCAGTAATAATAATTTACATAATTCATGTTGTTATGTGGCTCATGACCAATACATTACATGAGACTTCCGATTTTTAAGCAGACCATTTGCTGCAAAGGACAGTCTTCTCAATCTGGGAAATCGCAAAAAACATTTCCCCTATCTTACAACCGTTCGAATATCCGCCTCACTTATGCTTTCATAGCAGAAATTACTGGAAAATCCGTTCTTTCATTGGGATCATGGTGCGGCGATGATTTGCCTTTCGATACCATGGACCAGACGCGCTTTACTTCCGAAAACAGTATCCTCAGCTCTGGAGTAAGTATAACGTGTAATCTTCTTCCTTCTCTGGAAGCGTCATTACTTTTATACCAACATTGAAAGAATGAAAGTTGAATAAACCGGCTGTGGCCAGCTCTCACCATAATTCGACCGCAACCCCCGGTACTCTACTAATTATGCCACCGCAGGTTGATGCAATGACTACAAGATGAATAAACCTACTTACATCTTTTGTATGATGATTCCGAATAAGACGGTCGGCTATGTAGTCCACCAACCAGTCACCTTTACGGATGTGTTCGCAGAAAGGATGTCCCAAGTCGTTTTTCAGTCGTACCGTATTCAGCAGTATAGTCATTCCTGCACAAGCAGCGTCCAATATTTAACAGATATGGTCACAATGAGCACAAAAAACTACTAACCCTGCAGGCCGCAGTATACCAGGTTTCCAACACCGGGTATGTAATAAGCTCCAGCACCCGGATGTTCGTCAGCTTCCTCTTCGTGACATCGGAACAGAACTCGGTTCAAATCTTGCAAAGTCATACCGCTCAAAATCGTTCTCAGGCTGGGAGCTTGAAATAAAGCAAGTGCAAGATTGTCGGTCAAATTAAAAATTAAAACGGGGTCGTAACCTGCGCAAAAAAGATAAATAACGGCTTATTTCGTTGCATAACTTGATTCATGCAAAATAGAGTTGTCATGAATTTGGCGAACTCCAAAACTCTTAAATTACGAGAAACGTCATCCGGTCGCATATATGTTTTAGGAGAATACGAGAGGCGAAAAGATGGCTAAGGCACATCTGAAGCCTGCGTATCAGGCCAAAAAGCCCAGGCTCAACAGATCGATCTGTTAATTTGTGGAATTCCACAAAACGAGCAATTGAACTGGCCCTCTAATCAAACCATGAAGAACTTAAAGAGCCAGTCCGTCGTTCATATGCATATATAATTTTCGGCTACTTATGGTGGATGCTGCTGTGAAAATATAGTTCATGCTTTTTGTGAGACTGGAATATACTTGGCACAAAATCATCAGGAAGCGGAAGAGGTGATGGTCTCCCAACAGAGCAGACCTGCTAACGACGACATGATTATGGCCTCTTCCATACCAGTGGGTGAAGTCTACTATAATCGGATCAGACATGACAGACTTCGACAGCTAGTTTCCAGTTTCTTTATAATTATGTATGCCATTGATAAATCGAACAAAATTACGACAGGAATTCGTTGCATTTCTTAAAAGTCAATTGCATTCGAACCGAAACAGCAATTTACAGTATCTTGTCCTGAAAAAGTTCAATAACTTATCCATAGAGTTCTCAACCACAAAAATATTGTTATCCATTAATCTTATATCATACATCTTACATCAGAAAGGATCTCAAAGAAATATCTAGATCCATCCAAATATTGTTAGACACCCTAACAACAAAGACAACAATGGTACTGTGGTTCGTAGCTACTATAATTAAGAAAACAATGGTGCACGGCAGCAGTGTTACATTTACTTGACGACAGTCTTTAATATAAGGTCTAATTGATTAGCCATACAAAAGACAGGAATCGCACTGAATAATGTGCATCGTGTATGGACGATAACCTTCAACGATTTATCAGAATGCTACAGTTTAATAACTGCTTATGGATAAGTTACGATTAACTTAACGGATTAACGAACAATCTGAACTACAATTTGAACTCAATTAAAATCATCATTTCTGCTGTGATTCGACGAAACAAAAACAAAACGTTTAACAGCGTATTTATCTGGACTCTACGTACCTTCGTGAGCCATTTTTTCCAAGTCGGTGCCGCTGCAAGAGCGCATTCGAAATCCAAGTCCTAGTAAATCGGTCCTTAACACAACGATGGATCTTCTTGACACAGGTTTCATAGCAAACCTTGAAAACACTGTTACCAGATAATGTTATAGATTGTGCCGTAATTAACGCATTTTAGTAAATGTTAATATCGCATGTGTATCACAGACAAAAGATGCCAAGTCGGTAGAACATCTGACTATGAAGCGAGGGGTCCCAAGTTCAAGACCTGGTTATGATCACTAGCCGTGCTTTTTTCCAACGTTGATAAATGAGTCCATCTGTGTGGAAAGGAAACAGAAGGCTACACAGTATGCCGACCACGTAGCTGCTGTTAACCAAGCCTTTAAATAAGGCACTCCCAGCTATTGGCATGAAAAAGCAAAGGAGGAAAAGTTTGCAATTGCTGAAGTGTCAGTCTTCCATACAGTTACATGATAGAGCCAATTGTCGTACTATTGCTTTCGTGAACTTAATCACCAGATCTCCATTTTTATGTTCTCAGACAGAAATGCCTTATATAAAAAGAAATAATTGACAGCAGTCATCTGAAAAGCACAGTACTCCTGGTTCCTTTCGATTCATTGAAAAGAGTCGTGCTTATCCGACCGGGTGCAACCCAAGGGAATTCATTGTAAAGACAAAGATGGCCAGCCGCAGAATCGAACTCGGCATGGAAATCGACATCAGCGCCGCATTATTAACGTCACGAAAAAGGCGACAAAATGTGTCCATCATTATAGGAAAACTGACCTTGCAACGTACGCAAACTACTTTAATCCTGTGTGTCACACCATACACCGAGATGAAATAAATTAGTGGAAAAAATTTAATAAGAATTTTAGGAACAGCTTAAAACACGGCTTAATACCAGTGAAGTCGAACGGCCGTCGGTTCGACTGTACAGTAACGGAAATCGATGTCTCAGACCTGATCTGACAGGTCTTTCTCAATGCACTGTTTAAGGCTGAACCCTCGAAAGAGTCCGTGATATAAATGTGTATTTTGCTATCGCTCCATCGTCGTGATATACCGCTTTTCTGAGTCACGATGGTTGATGTTTTGATATTTTTTGCACAGCTACCAACGCATGGAATAGTGACAGGTTATAACTTAGATGACCAGCAACGTTTTGGGTGATGTTGAAATGGGAAATGTAAATCAGAGAAAGGGAAACAAATTTCTAAAATTTTGCTACAGTTGAAAATCCTTCCAAGAGGTGAATATTCTTCTCACCCATAATTTTGTTCTTTTCCCGCTAAACTTCGTCGACAGCGTATTTTGCCGTACCCTTCAGTAATATAGTTCAAGATTCAATTCCGGCTTCATGTTTTCTCATTTTCATGTCGTCCGTCAAGAATGACATTTTCTTTCAATAAATCTGGGATAGCGTCATTCTACTCCTTCAGTCATTTATTTGTACAGACAACATTTAGAAGGTTTTTCAACCTAGTCAGACGTCAATCTGCATAGCACTACTACTCAAGTCTGAGCATCTGATAAAGTTCCCATGAAAAATTTTCTTATGTAGCAACTTTATGCACAAAGAACGTCAAAGGGCTCAATTCAGTAGCTAACGTTTTGAATTACGCCGGGATTTTTCATCAATGGGACTATCAGTGGCTAACAAA